TACAGTTTAACATGTAATTTTTTTAATATTTTTTACAAAATAAAAATAAAAATAATTTTAAATAAGATAGAAAAATTGAAATTTAAAATAAGATATAAATTTATTAAAATTTATAAGTATAAAATATATTTAATATGAATATTTTTTTAATAAAAATAAATAAAAACCGAGTCATGCGGTTCAACTAGTGACCCACCGGTTCAACCTTTAACCCACTGACCCAGTACCTTAACCGATTCGATGACCGATCCAGTTTTTAAAACTATGCTCTTATGTAATCAATTGTATATGTATTGCTTGACCGATTATCTATGATTACTCTTATATTCTTTTGAATCATTACATATATTTATATGTATAGTTTTTTTATATTATGTAGTTAATGATACAATTTCTATTATATATTTGCATATATCTTTATTGATTTTATGAACTATTTGTGTCTTAATCTCAATTAGTAATAAATTTTTTTGTACTAAATATAGTGACTATGATATATCTTTTAAAAGCGTGACATATTATGCAATATCATCATATATTTTCATATTAACAATCAATATAATATATTAATAATTAACTCACGACATTAACAATTAAAATATCACATCAATAATTAATTAAAGATATAAAATAATCAATTAATAATATAATAAAATATCTTAAATTTAAAAATTAGATAACAAATTCATGTATATTAAAATATTGATAACAAAAAATATAATTAAATTAAGTTTCTAACCATGACTTGAAAGTGAGAAGAGAAATTTAGAAGAAAAACAATTGAAAAATTGAAAAATATTTTTCAATTATCACAATTTAAAGATATTCTCACTTATGAGGATGATGAAAAGTAATTTAAAAAAAAATATTTAATTTTTACATTATTAATAAAAATTATTATTTAAAATAATGATCAGGTTTGGTAAACGGTACTATAGATTGAATAATTATATTTTAATATTTATTTAAATTTATTATATATCTATTCTATCTATCTATTACACTTAATAAAAGAAACTTTTTGGTTGTACACGTGTCTACCTATTAAAAAAAAAAATACCCGCTAAACCAAAACTCATTTTTTTAAATATCTTTTTCCAAACCTTCTTGTCTCTTCGATCCACCCTATTCTCTCTCCTATCTACACTCTTCTCTCTCCTATTTAAGTTTTATATATTATATTATATGTTTTTTCTTTCAATTTTAATTTTTTAAATTTATTTTAATTGAAAATTTTAAATTTTAGTTTTAAATTTCTAATCTCTAATATTTAATTTATATATTTATTATTATTTATTATTCACTTATTACAGTAATTTTATTTATAATTTATAATTATAATTATAATTATAATCATATATATTTCATTATTAATAGTTGAAGAAGGTTTTTATTTTATTTTTTAATTTTAATTTATGTTTATAGGTAAAATATTCAAAATATTGTTTATAAATATTATAAATGTGATAAATTTTTATTTACAATATAGTTATAGAAATCAAATGATTTTTATATATACTATAAATAAAATAACGATAATAAATTTTACGCGATCTAAATTTTTACATATTTTTAAAGCTTTACATGTTTGAGAAATAATAAATTTGTAAAAAAACTTTTTCTTGTCTTTTGAAAAATAAGTTATTTTTTAAAACTAAAAATTAAAATTCTTAATTATTTCTCAATAATTTTTTAAGTAAAATTGAATTTTTAATTTTTATAATGCTTGAATTTTTGTATTTCATTTATTGTGTCCAAATTAATTAGTATTGAAAATTAAGTTTCTTGATTTAATTTTTTTAATAAATATTATACATATATATAAAATTTTAATTATTAAACGGAGTGAATTAGACCTTGGAACTTACTTTAAACAAGGGACGAGATAAAAAAAAGGATATTTTTGTCAATCTGACTTCTAATAACTATTTATTAATCTATAAAAAAATATTTAAAATATTATTTATACATATAATAATTTCTTATTCACAATTGTAAAATAATTAAATACATTTATCTTTTATATTTTAAAATTATACATTAACTAACTGGATAGAAAATGATTGAGTAAAAAAATACAAGATTAATTTTCAAAAAAATAATTTAAATGATTGAAAAATTTAATATTTTTAACTAAATTAATAAAAAAAATTAAAGAGTGTAATTTAGTTAAAAGAGTTACAATTAAAAATAGGAGTAGTATATATGAAATTCTATCCAACTTCAATATTTATGTTCTTTTTATATTTTTTGAATAAATTCAAACATTTAATTATATTATCTCAATATAAAATTCATAATTTTATAAATTAATGTATTTTTAACATATGTAAAAATAATAATAGCTCATACAAATACACGGGTTTCCTGATAGTGAAAAATAAATTTGACTTCTTTGATAATGTTTTGATACGTCGTTGATCGCTTTATGAAACTTTGTAATGAATAATGCAGAATATTTCATTTTTAAATAATTTTTATTAATTACTTTATGAATAAGAGTGTAAATATTTTGCATTTTGCAATCGAAAAGTAAAAAAGAAAATACAAATTATTTAAGAATTGATATTTATTGTGCTATTTTCTAATTGATGTGACCGTACATTTCTACGTTACAATTATAATCGTTTCTTTTTTCGACAGCGTTACAGTTACAATTGTTAGAACTTTGAATTCAAAGTATTTTTATAATATTTTATTCTTGTGACGGCAATTTAATATTTTTAAAAATATTTATGAATAGGAAAATGATTCAGTGTGCTAAAATTCTTTCTGAACAAATAAAATAATAATTTAAATTATAAAATATTAAATTAAATAATTATTTTATAATAAATTTATTAAAAAATATTAATATTTTAACTATAATTTGAAAAAAAATTCGGACTGTACCATAACTCTCCATAACTCTTATGAATATCCTGACATAATTAGGCAATATTGGCACTTACGATAACATTTGGTTCACATATCTTTGAAATTAAATTTTTTTTTTATCATATTGTTGAGTGTTGATGTTGATAAGCATGGGAGAAAAGACAGGCGCAAAACTATCGTCGGTAGCACGTGTCCCTTTGCATGGTGCGGTGAAAATGAAATTTTCAATTGCAAAATAGTTAATATACGTCTCTCGTTCGCACTTTTTTCTTTTTTAAATATAAAAATAAAAAAAGATATATATTTTTTAATTAATATTTTTACTAATTTATTTTATATAAATTTTTAATTTAAAATTTATGTTATTTTGAAGTTATTTTTTAAATTTATTTATACACATAATTTGATGTATTAAAGTCCTTTAATTTTCTTGGATATATAACAGTTCCCAACAGTTAATATACGTGTCATTTATTTCGTTCGTACTTTTTCTTTTTTAAATATAAAAAATAAAAAATATTTTTTTAAATTAATCTTTTTGATTAATTCATCTTATATAATTTTTAATATAAAATTTATATTATTTTAAATTTATTTTTTAAAATTTATTTGTTCACATAATTTAATGTATCAAAATCCGTGGATAAGCTTCCAATAATTAATATACATCTTATCTATTTTATTTGCACTTTTTTCTTTTTAAATATAAAAAATAAAAAAGATTTTTATTTGGTAAAAATAAAAAAATTACAAAAATAATCACAATGAAACATTAAAAAAATACAATAAATAATATAGTGCAAAAATATGAGAAAAATAATAATTTTAATGAATAGTGATTTTTTTTAGTTTGAATCATAAATATCAAATAATCCTATTGAAATTAGATACGACAACAAAAAACGTCTTACCTATTTTTCTTCAACAATTATGTTTTCAAAATTATCTTAATCTCTAATATTTTTATTTATAAATAATTCCAATTTTTTTTATTTTTAAATTATCAATAGTTACACATAAACATGAACATAATTATATAGAATTAAATTAATTTGAATGACTATTAAAATTTTAAAAAATCCATTCTATAAACTTTTTCTTTTTATCGATAATGCATAGAAACTCAATAATTTTGTGCGAATATACTGTTTTAAATGACTGAAAGTCTTTAGATAATTTAAGTCGTGAAAACAATTGGTTCTATATCCTCTCGTCATATCATACAAATTCATTACTGTAGACCGATTCTTGGTAATTGCATGGAAGAAACCACCTGCACACTCTAGATATATTACTTTATTGACTAAAGTATTAGTAAAACTTGTGAAAAGAATAAAAAATGATTACGTAAAAAATTATTCTATATTTTATTCTAAAGAAGGCAACTGTTGCCTTTTTTAGTCACGCACGAATAAAAATGAGAAAACTATTCTTTTCGTGAAATATGACTTCAGCTTTTGATAATTGTCGTGGGAAAAGAGTGGGTGCATCCGGATCCGGTTTTGAGTTTCCTTGAATGTGAAAAAAACATAGTAGAAATGAATTAATTAGTCAAAAGAGACAAAACCAGAAACGATAATTATAAACCGGAGAGGGTGAGGCAGACAATTGGCGGCACCAACAGCGTATGTTTGAAGGCTTAGAAACTTCTTTTCTTCCGATAATTGAAAAATCAACAACAAAGAATTTGTCAAAAAAAAAAAAAAAAGGAGAGAGAAAAGCAAAAACCCAGAATCCAAGAACAGCGCTCCTCCACCGGTGGGGTAGAGCAAGAGCAGTGACCACTCGAAAAGTAAAAAAAGAAAAAAAGAAAAAAGCAACCACATGATTCCCCCGATGTCGGTGGGCCCGCACCCACGGACTTCACACTACATTCAAATATAGTTAAGCTGCCATAAATGAAACAAAAAAATATCCTCGCAATAATGACCAACGGATCCCACACGCAAAATCAACAAGCCTTTATTATTTATTATTTATTATTCGTTGAGATTGGGAAAATAAATGAGAAAGGAAAATGCGGCTTTTTCTGCTACGCACGCGCCTGTCTCTATCTGCCGTTAATGAATTAATTAAAGTAAAGTAACCCTATCTATCCCACCACTATATATACCCTCCACTCTTTATTTCTCCCTCCACCCAAACATTCTCATTTTCTCTCTCTACACTCTCACCACTTCTCTTCCAACCACATGGAGACCCACACCGACACCACCAAACGACTTCGCCACCACTCTCACTCCGACTTAGACTCGCCCGAGTCCTCCAAGCGCCTCCGAGTTCACCCCAACTCATCCGAGTTCGACCAACTCGCCCGAGTCAACCCGGACCTTCTCGACATGCTCAACGACGCCGACAATGTCACGGAGCGTGACCCCACCGTGCTTGACTCTGTCATAAAGAGCTTCGAGGAGGAAATACTCGCTCCGCCTCCCAACCTGTCACCCGAGCCCCAGCTTTTCAAGCCCAACCTAGGCTATTTATTGGAAGCCTCCGACGACGAGCTAGGCTTGCCGCCCACGGTGGCGCCGCCCGCCGATGAGGTTGCCGAGCCCCACCCTGTCGGTTCGGGTCGGGTCGGACCCGAGGGCGTGGATCTGACGGGGTTTTTAGGGTTTGAGGATGATATTGGGAGCTACGAAGGTTTGGGGTTTGTTGGGTACGATGATGTTGAAAATAACGGTGGCGGTTACGTGACGATAGATGGGTTGTTCGACTATGCGGATGTTGGCGCCGATATTTTGTGGCGGTCGGAATCGTTACAGGCGATGTAGGAAGGTTGTATAAAGATGTGTTAGGGCTTAGGTGGCACAGAAGAAGATAGGTTAGATCTGATGCGGAGTTGTTTTAGGGTTATGGGATTTGTCGTTTTGGCTTATGGTATTGGGCTGGGACCACAAACGAATGAACCTTCGCTGCAGACTTGTTTCTTTAATCTTTTATTTTCTTTAAAATGTGAATCTAAAAATGTTGAAGACTAAATTCAAAATTAAGATTAAAGTTAAAATTGAAATGGTTGTTCTGGTGAAAATGGAGAAAATGTCCTGAAATCTGTTGATACCAGATTCAATCTTTGTGTTTCTGGATTGGATTAGGCGGGTACAGTTGTGACTCGTGTCAGATTCTATAATAAAAAATTATGTTTCCAGCCAAACGCACTAATTGAAACGCATGTTGCCTGAGCAAAATAAAAAGTACTGTACTTCTGAATCTTTTTCTATAATCAAAAATGTGTAATCTGCTTCTCATAATAATTAATAATTTAATTACACTTTTGGCTGTTATAATTTCATTATTTTTATTTATTAACTTTAATAATTAACTTATTATGTTTTTTTTCTTATAATAAATTATTTTTATCCTTTAAATTTTAAATTTTTATTTTTAATTCTTATAATTTTGGAAAAAATTATTTTAATCAATTATGTCATTAATAATATAAATTGATTGAAACAATTATAGTATAATATAATATTTTTATTAAAAATATTAATAGATACAGTTTTTTTTATTTATAAAATAAATAGAAATTCAAATGGTTAAAAATATATTTAAATTTCACTAAAAAGTTGTATAACAATCTCAAACAATACTTATATATGATAAACACTACAAATATTTAATATGTTATATATATATAGATAATTTTATCAGGAGTAAAAATATATTTAAATTATTTTTATTTTAATTGTTTACATGATACTTTTATTTTTTATTTTTAATTTTTTTATGAAGACAAACAAGTATTTTTTTTATAAAATCATAAAGATCAAAAAAATAAAAATATGTATAAAAATTTAAATAAAATATTTTTAATTATAAAATTATAGATTAAGGCAAAGGTGATGAACCTAAGAGCACTTCCGGTAGAAATTGCTTAAGATGTATCTTAGATACAAGAAATGGTGCTTATAAAAATTTGTTATTGGAGTAATATGAGGTAGCAAGGAAAGTAATAAACTTTTTAGATCCGTTACTTCTTTAAGGACAATATAATCTAATTATACTATTAAAATAATAAAAAAATTTAAAATATGTTATTATTTTTTAATATATTAATTGATAGTGTAACTTATATTAGAAGTAATAATATATACTAACATAAAAAAGGACATACTATGTTTTGTGTATTTTAAAAATAAATAATAAATAAAAATGAGCTCTTAATAATAAAATCTTGAATAAGTTTAATTGGGGGAGTACTTTTTGAAAATAATGAAAAAAATGAGTAGTTTGATAGATGATTATAAATATAAAGTTGTCTAAAACGAATATGTACAAATCAGGAAATGGGATAATTCTTTATATTAATAGTATAGATTAAAAGTATAAGTTAATATCGTTACTCTTATTTAATTGCAAGAAGAATGCTTAAAATATTTTCTTTAATAGTTGTTTATACATCTTATATTGTCGGTTGAAAAATATAAAAAAATATTTTAGTAAAACAATTAAAATTTAACTTTTTAAAAAATATAATTGACATTCGTTTCAGTCTTGTGGAATTAATTTTGAATCTCATAATATTTTTCAAATGTATCCTTCATGTCCAAGATTTAATTGTTAATATATATAAATTAAATATTAACGGATATAAGTATTTATAGATATAAAAATTATGATACTCTTGTCAATTCTGTTGACATGTAAGTATAATAAATATAATATCTGTATCATTACTTTTTCTGTGTTTATTATTATTATAGTGCGAAGGCAGGTCTACGACTGTTGAACTTAATATTATGTCAGGTCTCTGTCTTAAATAAAAGCTTCTGAGAATTCAAGTAATTTGGATGGTAAGATTCCCCTTTGAGTTAGGCAATCTGTAACATCATTTACCAAATTAAGTTTTGAGATATTCAAGCCATCTTTATACAAACTCATTTCTAATTAAAAAAGAGTTGATAATTATACCTGGCTAATTAGTTTAAGAACAGATGTTCTATTATTTTAGATGGGCTGACCCGCTCTAATAATGGGCCAGGTTTGTGATTGGTGATGGGTTGTGTTACTTCTAAATATCACGCAATAAAAAGAACAATGAAACTCAAAATTTCCGTCTATAGTTTTGCTACACATACGGACTTGGAAATCAATCTTTTAAGTAAGAGAATTTTCAATCAAAGTTTCTTAGTTACCTTGTATAAGTTGCTTAACAATAAAATACTATTTTAACGCCACACATCACACATGTAATTTTGGGTTTCTTAAAATTGATTAGAAAGAATTGCTTATAAATATGACGATTTTTTGTGAGTTACTTAAAATTTAGATTTTTACATGTAGGAGAGAGAAAATGAGATGTTAAAGAGAAGAAATTTTTTAAAATATTTTTTAATTAAGGAACTTGTTGATAAGAATTTTTATTTGAATGAAAATTGGATTAGTTACTTAAAATTAAAGTGACATGTGTATAGACTTACTTAAAGAAATAAATTAAGTTGCTTATGTCATTAGAGATGCTTTAATCACATAAAAAAAAGACAAAGTTATTATCTTCTAACTATACCACACAATATTTAACCTCAAGCGTGTGGTTTAGCGGTAAGGGTTAATCCACGCTTAAACAAGATTAGGGGTCCGAATCTTGCCTTGTATATGCAGTCGCATTAAATCTTGGAGTTAGCTATAGAGGAGATTAGTAGCGAGAAGATTAGTCACTGCTATCGGCGGTGGATACTTAACATCTCAATTGAAAATTTACTATTCTTTAAAATGTTAATTTAATGAGAAAGAATTACACTTCATTGTTTTATATATAAATATAGATATAGATATAAAGGGTTGAGCAGTAAAGTAAGAGTTGAGAGTGTCAGAAGTATAACGGAAGCGATGCTTTTTCCATAAAGAAAGTATTCTCTTTTGTAGATAGCATATACTAGTGTGGAATAAGAAGGCAAGGATAATGTGAGCCCTGCATGTCTTATTACAAGTAGAATCAAATTCTTCAATTAAAAGGAGAATAATTATATGACAAGGTTTCATCGATACCCAGCTCAACATAAACCTTTGTTTGGTTCTCAAAGTTACATTTTTGCTTTTACCAAAACAGAAAAAAGATTGCATTTTTGCTTTAACAAAGCCCACTTTTCCTTTACCAGTCATTCTGTAATGAATTCTGAAACGATTGTATTTCTGTTTTTGTTTGTATCTCTTTGATTGATTTGATGACAATGAGCGTATGTTACTTGTGTTACTGAAAGGTAAAGATATAGCCACTCTTGGTATGCCAGGTTAGAATCCATATTTATATAAATTAAAGGTTTTGAATTTTAATCAATTCATTTATTTTCTATCTCCTTTTCTTTCTTTACTTAGTATTTTCTTTAGTTCTATTGTTCTACTAGAGCTGGAGAATACACCAGATCATGTAGAAATTCTTTTGTCGTGTTGCAACCAATTCCATTAAGTGGACAACTTTGTCTGTTGCATTTATTTTTTCTGGCCTTCAACTATTTTTGGTGTTAATAATTTTCAACTGTTGTTGAATTACTCAAGCATGAACAAGAATTATCAGAGATCTACTCCTAAGAATAGTCGAGAATACAATTCAGTGGATAAGTGGTTAGCACTTAGCTTGACAATATTGACAGCACAACCAATATCTAGAATTATCAATTCTTTACCCAGATCAAGTCACATTTTTTAACAGATTATCGGATTTGAAAGTCCTTTCCCATGTTTTAGCCAAAAAGAAAAGGCCAATAACAACATTGTTGCCTTGTGGATAATTGCACGTTCAGCGTTCTAGTTGGTACAAGTGTTTGTTTAATTTAACCTATTTTAAAAATGTTTTTTTTTTGCCAACTTAAAAAAAATCCATTATTTTAATTTTTTCCCCGACATATACTAAATTATTGAAAATAACCAGCGCAAAGAAATTTACAAATGGTAAAGAGGATAATCTCACGAGAAGGTTCGGTGCTAATAGAAATGGAAAGTGTGAGCTTACGATTGTGAGTAAGTATATTAAAAAAAATAAAACCGAACTAAATTATTTTGATGAAAAACTGAATTGAACTATTTTTAGAAGAAAAAAAATGAATTGAGGATCGAAGTGAACTAAATTCAATTATTTTTATAAAAGGTAAAAGTTTTCATACATTTGATTTTTCTAATGTTTATTGTTGAAAAAGAATAGTTTAGTTCACAGATTAAAAAAAAATACCGAACTAATAAAATAGTTCAATTCATTTTGTCTAAACTACCTTTTAATTTAGTTTAGTTTGAAAAATTATTATTTTTAATTTAATTTGATTATTATATAATTGAGTTCAATATTTAAACATTACATGACTTTCACGACTTAAAAAAGCACAAGATAAATGACGACACGAATAAAAATAATTTCAAAAACATATATAATTTTAAAAGAATTTTATTTACGTAAAATAGTTTTAGTAAATTGTATCACAATAAAAACCCCTTTCCCATCTTGCCACATGTTACTTTTGTACAAATACATGGCCATGAAAGAGATAGCAAAGTGAAGCTTTTGAAAAATATTAATTAGTATTTGACAAGGATTCATAAATTAACGTTGGTGGGTCATCTTGTCCCTCTCCCACCATAATGGGATGCTGTATTTATTGTTTGGCACAAAGTGAACAAATAAAAGGAAAAAGAGATAATATCTAAGGGCATATTTGGTTTTCTGGTTGATTTTTTTAATATATTTTTTAATTATTAATTATAAAATAATAATAATAAAGTTAATTATTATTATTATTATTATTATTTATCTTTCCGGTGGAGGCTTCTAAATGCACGTTTAAAGAATAAAAATTTTTTTTAAAAAAAAAGTTAATTAGTTTTCAGTTAGGTATGAAACTGTAAACTGAGTTTTGCTTCAATTTTTTTCTTAAACACGGGTGAGAGATTTAAAAAGTATTTTCATTCTAAATGTAATAATTTCTTCTTCATTTAGCATTGAAATTTACAAATTTGTATTAGAATTTGCAAAAGTTATCACATAGTTATGGAAAAATCCAGTTTTTTTTTTAAACTAAATTAAATAAATTAGTTTTTTTTCTATAAATATAATAGATACGATATTTTAAAACCAATAATTAAAAATTAATTTATATTTGTAAAACACGACTTTTATTAAATAATTATTTTAAAATAGATCGGAATTGAATTTGAAAATATCGAAATTCTATGCTCCAGGTGATTAGGTGTTATATCACTTGATAATGTTTAATTTAAATAAATATATTAGTTTTAAGGTCGCATGCTAAAATTATAATGACGTAAATCCTTATTATATTATATTATAATTATGAAATGTTGTCTCTTTTTAGGAAATATATCTTTTGACTTTATAGAAGAAAAGTTATGATAATTTCATATTATTGAATTTGTAATAAACATATATATATTTAAATTAAAATATATATTATATACATGATTTATTTTTATAAATTTAACAATTTAAATATAATAAATTATTATAATTTTCATATTTTAAAGTTAAAGAATCTTAATTCCTCTTTTCAATAGCTATCGGGTTTTTCTTTTAACCGCTTTAATAACACATGTACAACGATTAACAGTTAAATGAATTCAATAATCACAGAAAATATAGAAGAAAAAAAAAAAAGCAACGAAACCTGCTTAATGATTACTTAGACAGCAATTTCAACTCAATATTTATAAAATTAGTTACATTTTTTTTTTCTGATATCATGTCACGATTTTTTTATTTTTTATTTTAGCTTTTTCAATTTATTTACTTGTTAATCTCTTTTGAGACCATTGACAAGTGCATTGTGTCTCAACAAGTAGGTAATATTGAGTAACAACATCCATTGCCGGAAAATTTTAAGTGTATGTTAAACTTAAAGATATGATATTTTAATTTTCTCTGTTAAAGACAATCTTGACCATAACATGAATTACTTGTTTTTAAGCATCACATCTTTTTATAATATATAATTGCTTAACTTAAAAAAAATATTTATTTGTGTGTCCAACCATCAAATAAAATTATGTATAAATAGAATATATAAAAATAAGAGTATCTTATGAATTACATAAAATTTTACCATCACAAAAATATAATGAGTTTCTTAAATATGGTGTAGTAACTTAACATTCAATAAAGTGGTATAAAATATTATTTATGTTCTCTTATAATAGTTGTTTAAGGTTGTTTTACATATGTTAATAAGAAACATAATAAATTTTTTTATTTTTCATAAAATGACTTTGATATTTTTTATTATACCTTTTTTTATTTTTGATCATAATAAATGCATATTAGTTGTTATGTGTAATTTAATTAAAAATTAAGTGAAAAGTAAATATATAATTGATAACATTGTGATTAATATTGTCTTAAAACTTAAAAGTGACAAGTAAGTATAAATAAAATTTGACTAAAAATTCAATAGATAAGAAGGAATAGAGAGAACACTTGTATGAGATACACTCATTGTTAATGTTCTAAATATCGTTTTTAAGGGACTTACGTTAATATCTAGCATAACTCATGTTTGTTATTAATTAAGTAAAAATTGTAACAGTCTAAACACACCATAATGAAAAGGATTTATATATTGTAAATGTGTGAGATTATGCAATCGATGATAACTTAAAATAATTAATTTGTATTATCTATATAAAAAAGATGCATCTACTTTTTAGTAGTTCATCACATAAAAACTTCACAATTAAATGTGTTTGACTTGGAGTAAGTTAGAGATGAATGACCTTCTAGGGAGTTTCTCATAAAGCATGCAGGTGAGAACAAAATATGTTGAAAAATATTGTATTATTTTGTGAGATCAGTCATTAATCTTAGAGACAGACGAATATTTCAGAAATGGTTACCCACGGAGAATTCTGACCAATAAAATATGAGTTAATCACCTATACACTGCCAGTGTAAAGTTTTTTTGCACTGACAACCAATCATATATTTTAATAGTGTCATGTCAGTTGCTTATATAATGAAATAATAAAATAAAATAATTTAAAAGATATGATTGGTTGCTAGTGTAAAAAACTTTACACTGACACTGTATGAATGCTTAACTCATAAAATATTATGTGAAGTGTCATGAAGTAAAACTATTTAGATGCCAAATATAGAAATGTTACAAAAATAAAATTAAGTTGAGAATTGACTGATAAGTAAAATAATTTTCGTTAAAAAAATGTTGTGAAAGAAAATTAGGGATGACAAAAATACCCGCACCCACGGGTATCTACGCGTAAAATTTACTACGGATAATAAATGGATAGGCTAATTGGATACTCGCGAATAATGGGAACGGATAATTTTTTACCCGTTTATAAATAGGGCAGGGGCAGGTATGATGATATTCATACCCGCGGGTACCTGTTTAATAATATTTCTTAAATATCTTAATTATCATTGTACCACATAAACCTAAAACTACACTCTCTCATCTTTGTGATATGAAACTTTCACTTACTTGTAAGATTGATGTATTTTAAGTTATTGATTATCTTGCATTTTTATTATTATTTCAACAAAATTAACGTTAAATACAGGTTCAAAATTAACATCGAATTTTTATTTTAATATTTCAATGATATTAAATATAAACTTAAAATTATTTATAATATAATTTTTTAATTTCTTAAAAAAATTATAAATAGTCATGGATATCCATGAATATATGTGGATATTCAAGAAATTCATGGATACTGACTTAATGGATACCCGCGCAGATATGAAGTGGGTATGAGACCAATTTTCATCTAACAAGACCATAATGAATTTACTATTACCTACCCCGAGGAACCCTATTACCATCCCTAAAAAAAATATTTGAAACTCTTTTTATCATTTGTTGAACTAGTTACACGCAAAAATAAAAATAAAAAAAAATTAACACAAGATAAATATATGTTGGCCTTAAATTATAACCACAAACAATCTTAATATAACTCAAATAATGAACCATGCCTATATTTTTATTCATGTAATCATTTCATTCAATTATCATAATCATAATTTCTTATAAAAAGAGCAAAAAATATTTATATAAGTTTTAATTTCTTAGTGACTTAAATAAAAAAAAAACTTACTATAAACATCATAAATGTAAGATGATAAGATCACTTAACTCTATTTTTATTAATCATATTTTTTATTTATAAAAAAAGCATAAAATATTTATAAGTTTTAATTTCTTAGTAATTTAAATGAAAAAACTTGCGATAAACATAAGTAATGTAAGATGACAAGACTACATGACTATATTTTTATTAATTAAGCAATTTTAGGTATATACTTTGGTTAAAATCTAAAACCAATTCTCCAATTAAAATTTTGAACATGTAAATCATTCATAAGTGATTAAATCATAAAGATACATAAAACTCAAAAGTAAGCACACACAACCAAAACATTGCTCATATTTGAAATGTATTAGGGCATATTTGAAATGTATTAGCGCATATTTGGAACGGAGTAGAAAAAGATTAAAAAAAACAACAAGAAAACAAATTAAAATTTGAATTAAGAGAAAATAATATTTTTTTAAAATTATTTCTTGGCTTTCTCTCCAACAAAAAATAATAAATACATCATTATATCTTTCTAATTTATGCCTATCCCATCAAACATATCATAAATATCTAATCACACGAAGGTTATCCTCTTAGAGCACCTTCAGCGGGAGGTACTTGTGCTGTATCTAAAAACTAAGCAACGGAGCTTAGTAGCATTTGCCATTCGAGTAATCTTACGTGGCATGAGAAGTTCTTATTTTTTTAGAACCGGAGCTTCAGCAAGCAACGGTGCTTAGCACTGTGAAATTTGAAATGGAGAGCTTTCATTGGTTCGTGCGGATCTTTGCTGGAAAGTGCACAATGGTTTTGCAAACAAAAGAAACCATCACCGCCACCTTCTCCACGGTCTCCGGATCCGAACCGTCGCCCGCACTGCACCGCCATGTTGTCCACCGTCTCCAGATCCGGACGCGCCCAGGCTCGCGCCGCTTCAGCCCCGTCCTAGCCAGCAACAGCCGCCGCCTGCTCCGAGAGGGTGGGATTCGAGTGGGAGTGAGAGTGGGTGTGAAGGAGAAGATGGAGGAAGCTGTGGAACGAGAGAGAGACCCCCTGTATTTATTATTGTAATTTTTTGTATTTTTTTATTATGTAATTTCTTTTTATTATTAAAATTTTTGTTATATTTTTTATTATATAATTTTTATTATTATTGAAATATGAGTTGTAAAAAAATTGAGGTGTCAAAAAGTGTAATATGAGTTGTAAAAAAGTTGAGGTGCTTATAAGCAATTGCCATTGGAGCAAAAGTTGTAAAAATGTAGTATGAGTTGCTTATAAATGACGTGGCACAGTGAGACCCATTTAAAGTGGTTGGAAGCAACTCCCACCGGAGATGCTCTTAGGGACAAAGAAAAAGAGTGACGAAATTCTGATAAAGTTGTTATCGGAAGCGTTTGTTTCGCATATTACAATCTTATTCTTGATAATGCAAATATGAAAATATAATATTTTTATGTCTACTACAAATTTTAAAAAATCATTCTTGGACATTATTTATTTTTAGAATAGTATGCCTACCATATTTTTTATTTTTTTATTCCCATGTTGAAGAAGTAGAAAAATAATATTTTCATAAAAAATGTAAAAATTATATTTTAATACATTCGTAACTTCATTTTTTATTTAAATTATTTTAAATTTTAAAAAAATTCCAAAAAAATATTAAGATGCAAGAAAATAAAATTTTTAAATATATTCATAAATAACATTCTAATTAAAATATTAGGGAGAAGGCAATTGTGGAGAATAAAGTTGTAATATGTAAAACAAAGACTGGTTGTGCTTGACGGGAACTTGGGCTCATCCTATGACGTGGCGATTTCTTAACGACGATGATGCCAGGAATCCGATTCTGGTCTCTTTGTCACAATGAGGTCATGTCGTCTATCTTGTACCCTTGTCCACTTTCGTCCCCAACCAAAACATAATAAAGCTTATTAAATTTTACAATATATTAGGGCATAGAAATTAGATTCCAAAATAAACACGACACGATAAGGTAATAATAATGTTTGGCAAAAAGTGTTTTGTGCGGATCCAAATAGTGCACCATTCAACTCACACTCATCCCATGTCTACTAAGACTCTTCAACTTCACCATCATTATCCATCTTGTCTTGGTTTCCATTGAAATAGTTTGATGGCTCCGAAACTCGTGAAAACGGGGTCGTTCCGTCACGGTTTGGCGGAGAAGAAGGAGAAACTTCTCTCGGCGAAGAGTGTTGGCGAAATTGGCATGCAAGAGGAAGAAGAGTGGAGGGTGGTGAAGTGGTGGAACACGGTGAAGAACCTGACGGAGAAGGCATGGGAAATGGGTCGTTCTGATCCAAGGAAGATTATTTTCTCCGCAAAATTGGGACTTGCTATGACCCTTATTTCCCTTTTGATTCTCATCAAAGAACCCTTCGAGGATATGAGTCGCTATTGTGTCTGGGCCATTCTAACGGTTGTCGTAGTCTTTGAGTTCAGCATAGGTACATTAACAATTAACAATACAAATTATATTTTCTTTCTGTGGTGGGGCACTTGATTTCGTTATTCCTTTACGTACTTCTTTTCTCTGTTAGAGCTAGATGTGAGTGTCACTGTTTATGTGTGTTCATTTAAGGGCTCAACTTCTCATGCTTTTGAATTAGCTGGTTTGATAGTGAGATTCGCTTCGTTTTTTTCGTTCTCCTCGCATGTGGAGTTGAGTTGGTGAGAGTGAGATATACACATGACTATGTATCTGAATTTTGAGGAAAGGTGTTTTTACTCATGTAGTGCTCCATGGAACAAGTGCAACTGGAAATCAGATATTTTCCTTTTAGCAATTGTAATTTAATTTTTGTTCTGTTGAGAAAATTGTCCCAAGAAACGCAACTATCTTATTTACAATTGTGAATGAAAAGTCCCACAACCGATAAAGATAAACATGTTTAGTAACATATAAATGAGAAAGATCCATAAATCCCTGTGTGATTGAATCATGACCCGTTGATATTGTTCTTTCGTATGTTTAACTGCCTCGTATTCCTAACATGTTTTGTCACAAAATAATTTATTTTTTCATGGTTGAGAAATTGTAGGTGTTGTTGATCCTGTTCAAAGCTTCAAACCCTTTTCATGTTTTCCATTGGATCAAGGGGGTCCATCTGTATCTAATCTATCTACCACTTAAATTCATAGCAAATTATAATCAACTATATTGCACTATTGCAGGGGCAACACTGAGCAAGGGGTTGAGCAATGGATTAGGGACCTTGACGGCAGGAGGACTTGCTGTGGGGATGGCAGAGTTATCAGCATTGGGTGGAAAATGGGAGGAACTTATAATTATTATAAGCATCTTTGTTGTAGGTTTGGTTTCACACTCACTTTCCTTTCATATGTTGTTTATCAAAATTTAGTTATATGATTTTGATCCACACGCGTGCTACAAGCTTGTCTTCTGACTAACTGGATGATCGATACTTAATAGGATTTTGTGTCACCTATACAAAACTATACCCTACCTTCAAGAATTATGAATACGGGTTCCGCGTGTTCTTGATCACGTATTGTTTCATCACAGTATCCGGGTATCAAACAGGGGAATTTTTTGATACAACTATAAACAGATTTTTTCTCATTGCACTTGGTGCTGCTGTATCTTTGGGAGTCAACGTCTGTATATACCCAATTTGGGCTGGTGAGGATCTGCATAATCTTGTCACACAAAATTTCATGGGTGTTGCCACATCTTTGGAAGGTATTCTACAATATTTTCTTCATCATTGCATTTCATTCTAGTTAGTACCACTTAGATAGCATGAAGTAATGTCTTTTACCTTTATGATCAGGTAACATAATAATGTAATATTTGCTTCCATCATTTATAGTTTTGGGTTAACTATTAAGTATGATATTACTGTCAAACTTTAAAAAGTGAAACTGTAATAATAAGTCAACACATATTATTTAGTTGGTGAATAACTTAAGAAACTCATTATCAAAAATTGATAGATTTTTGTTTATTAATCATTAATTCTACACAGTAATCCTGTAATAAAAAGCAACTTAGATTAAAATTATAATAAATATTTTCATTATCATAATTTCTATTATAATAACCATGTCTCCAATTTTAATCAAGGACTTTCTCAAGTTACCTGTTTGATCAAACAATAAATATAATATTGACTTAAATAACAGTACTTTATAAAAGTCAGGCATACATATTTATCCCCAATTGTATAACTCTGTTGAACTTCTCCCTCTTTTTCAGGTGTCGTGAATCACTACCTTCATTGTGTTGAATATAAGAAGGTGCCATCTAAAATTCTTACTTATCAAGCTTCTGATGACCCGGTGTACACTGGCTACAGATCGGTTGTTGAATCTACAAGTAAAGAAGATTCATTGGTGCGTCTACTTCAGATTTCTCTGGTTCATGAATATATATATTTAACATCATTTTGACTCATTGTTGTATGCTTGTGATTGAAGTTGGGGTTTGCTGTCTGGGAACCACCACATGGTGATTACAAAATACTGAAATATCCATGGAAGAATTATGTGAAATTAAGTGGGGCTCTAAGGCATTGTGCATTTACGGTCGTGGCTATGCATGGATGCATACTTTCTGAGATACAGGTACTTCTTTGTAAGGGAACTTTTTGGTTCTTAGCAAAAAAAACCCTCAAACTTTTGCTTTTCGTTACGAAGAGTGATGATTGATGAATAGTTTGCTGAGTTCACTTCTCTTATATTCTACGAAGTGGCTTATATTAAGTGATGATCTGTCATTTTAGTATTTTTGGTTAGAACATATTTTTAGATAAATTAATTCAGTTTGTATTTAATTACTACTTCTACACTCATTTTCAATGACATTTCACTTTTTAGAAATATAAATAGTATGCACAAAATTTCATGTTGAAACTTGGTTGCCCTTTAGTTGTAACTCCTACTAGTAAAAGAAAAACATCGACTTTCTACTGCCGTGACAATAATACTGTGAAATTGACATGATTCTTTTTAGGAAAGAATTTAACGTGAATTCACTCCATGTATAGTAGTAACCAAGTTCATGGCCGGTCCAATGGTGGCCAAAAAACTCCTTTATTTAGGCCTCTCAAAAATTAATTTACTTGTTAATAATATCTTTAAAAAAATAGTAATTACTTAATAATTAATATCAGTCTAAAAATAGTTGTCTTATAAAGCTTAAGTAATATGTTAGGATACAAAAAAGTCTCATATCCATAAAATAAGAGAAAAAATAACAATTTATAAAACACACACATACTCCAATGTTATAGAGACCTTTTGGATGATGATTAAAAGCAAAATCGTGAGAGCTTAGGCCCAAAGCGGATAATATTTCATCATTGTGGAGTTTTAAGCCCAAAGCGGACAACATCTCATCATTGTGAAGTTGTGTGTGAAAAACCTGATAAAAAAACTCTTATAAAATATCTCATATCTGGTATAGAGTCGCAAGGTTAGATGCGGTAACAACTCTCATAACCCCTCATAACTCATAACATATAATATGATATATAAAGATAGGGGAGGATTATTAGGATATCTCATATTTGGTATAGAGTCGCAAGGTTAGATGCGGTAACAACTCTTATAACCCCTCACAACTCATAACATATAATATGATATATAAAGATAGGGGAGGATTATTAGGATACAAACAAGTCTCACATCTTAAATAAGAGAAAAAATAACAACTTATAAAGAACAACCCCTCATAACTCATAACATATAATGCAAAACACAACCCCTCATAACTCATAATATATAATGTGATATATAAAGACAGAAGAGGATACAAACAAGTCTCACATAACTCATAACATATAATATGATATATAACGACAGAGAGGATTGTTAGGATATAAACAAGTCTCACATCTTAAATAAGATAAAAAATAACAACTTAAATAAGAGAAAAAATAACAACTTATAAATCACACACATACTCCAATGTTAGAAAGGTCTTTTGGGTGATGACTAAAAACAAAACTGTGAGGGTTTAGGCCCAAAGCGAACAAGTAAGGTTGGATGTGGTAACAACCCTCATAACTCATAACATATAATGTGATATATAAAGACAGATTCCGCTGCATGAAATGTTAGATCCCTTATTTGAGGGGTAAATAAGAGAAAAAAGATAACAACTTATAAAGCACACACATACTCCGATGTTAGAAAAGCCTTTTGGGTGATGATCAAAAGTAAAACTATGAGAGCTTAGACCCAAAGCGGACAACCCCTCATAACTCATAACATATAACGTGATATATGAAGACATATTCTGTTGCATGAAAGGTTAGGTCCCTTGTTTGAGGGGTAAATAAGAGAAAAAATAATAACTTGTAAAACACACACATACTCCAATGTTAGAGAGACCTTTTGGGTGATGACCAAAAGCAAAATAAGAGAAAAAATAATAATTTATAAAATACACACATACTCCAATGTTAGAGAGGTCTTTTGAGTGATGACCAAAAGCAAAATCGTGAGGACTTAGGTCCAAAACGGATAATATTTCATCATTGTGGAGTTGTGTGTGAAAAACCTTATAAAAATAACTCTTATAAAATATTCCCTCAGACAAATATCATAAAATAACCTCAAAGCGGACAACTCCTCATAACTCATAACATATAATATGATATATAAATACAGATTCCGTTGCATGAAATGTTAGGTCCCTTGTTTGAGGGGTAAATAAGAGAAAAAATAATAATTTGTAAAACACACACATACTCCAATGTTAGAGAGGCATTTTGGGTGATGATCAAAAGTAAAACCGTGAGGGCTTAGGCCCAAAGCGGACAACTCCTCATAATTCATAACATATAACATGATATATAAACACAGATTCCGCCGCATGAAAGGTTAGGTCTCTTGTTTGAGACCTTTTGGGTGATGACCAAAAGTAAAATAAGAGAAAAAATAACAACTTATAAAGCACACACATACTCCAATGTTAGAGAGACCTTTTGGGTGATGATCAAAAATAAAATCGTGAGGGCTTAAGCCCAAAGCAGACAATATCTCATTATTGTGGAGTTGTGTGTGAAAAATTTTATAAAAATAACTCTTATAAAATATTCCTTCAGACAAATACCATCAAATAACCTCAAAGCGGACAACCCCTCATAACTCATAACATATAATGTGATATATAAAATAGATTTCACTGCATGAAATGTTAGGTCCCTTGTTTGAGGGATAAATAAGAGAAAAATAACAACTTATAAAGTACACACATACTTTAATGTTAAAGAGGCCTTTTGGGTGATGACAAAAAACAAAACCGTGAAGACTTAGGCCTAAAATGGACAATATCTCATCCTTGTGGAGTTGTATGTGAAAAACCTTATAAAAATAACTCTTATAAAATATCTCCTTAAAGAAATGCTATAAAATAACCTCATCACGATATTATACACGTCATTTTAGCAAGTTTCCAACTTTTTTACTGGCTGAAAACTTTGACCTTATTAATAGTGTTTGGTATAAAAAAAATTTAGATTGTAGCGCTTTTTAAAATGCTACTTTAAATAGCATTTTTTTAAAATGCTAGCTTTTAACTTTTTAAATTTAATTCCTCGTTTTGCCTTAAAATATTTTTATTAAATTTCTATTTTATCCTTATGTAGTATAAGATTAATATAGTAAAATACAAAAATTGAAAAAATAATTCAAAATAAAAATTTAATTAAAATAATTTATCTATCAATGAAAATATTACAGTAGTTTAAAATTAATTACAATTTATAATTTAAAATATCCCAAAATATATTTTTATCTATAAAATAAAATTAACACTTAAATAAAAATACCAAATAAATATGTTTATTTCAGTTATTTTATATTTTATCATCCGCTTCGACAGATAATTATACTAAACGCTTATAATTAGTAAGTTAACTTGAAAGCTTTTAGTTACTATCTAGCTTTTTAGCTGGATTTTTTTTTTTTAGCTTTTAGCCAACTTTTCAGTTACTTTTGTAAAAATATCCTTATTAGAAGAAAAAAGGCCTATCATTTTAAGAGTTGACTCTTCTAAATAAAGAGTTATAATCATTAGTTAAAAAGCAACTGTTGAAATTATAATTATAAAATACTCTTTCTAATATGCCTTTTTTCTAAACGATCTTTATTATTGACTTAAATTGATTAGAAATTATAAATTTTTGTAAGTCTCAACGTATTTCTCTTGATTTAGAGGTGGAACATTTCAAAAATTGTGATTTTTAACTAATTTTAACTAACAGTAGAGAAAGTAATAAAAAGAGAGTATTAGTAACATTTTTTGATTAATTAAATGTCTATACTTGTATAGTAAATTATGTAATTATATCAATTTCAATTGTTAATGTCTTAATTAATGATTATAACTTTTCACTTTACTTTTTTGAATAAAATCCACCCTTTTAATATTTTCAAATATATATAATTAAGGAGTTTAGCTTAGTTGGTGAACCAACCAATATACATAAGTTATTATAAAATATTGGTCTCGAGTTTGATTCTTATAGATAAAAAAAATAAAATTCATCTTATAAGGTTAAAAAGTAAGATTACAAAAGAAAGCCTGAGACTAGTTTTATTTTTTTGTAGTCTATGTGAATATGTTAATTGTTTTTTAGTGTTTCTTGGGTTAACTTTTTTAATTAGTTTTATGTAAATCTATTTTTCATTTGTTATAAGAATGCCTTAAAGTGGTTGTTTTTGTTTGAGCTCCTTTTCCAGTTTCTTGTTCTCCTTTTGTGAGCATTTTGCAACACTTTTCTCAGTAATTTCGAATCCAATTTTGTATTAAAACCTAAAAGTTAATATCCTTATTATCTAACATATTTAAGTACTTGAAATGGTAATGTTCTTATTTTGGGATCAAAACATAAATGCTTGACCTTATTCCATAACAATCTTGGAAATTCCTTGTGTTCTATCCTTTCTCGTGGCCCCAATGATTGCTTAAATGAATCTTTTATCATTGAAATCCGACTGTCTCATCTTTTATGAAGCAATATTTATATCATGTGTATCGATATTGGCTGTTGGCGCCAATAACAAATCCAGGTTCCTGCCTTTAAAATATATCAGTTGGCTTGTTTCACACTTTTCAAGAACAATCTCAGCCCCATATTTTTCCCTGAGCTGAGTTTCAAAATCCCACACGAACAACATGTACTTGATCATGGCATTCCAAATGCATCAACTTTGTATGTTATGTAGACAGTTGGTAAGCAGCGTATTCATATCTTACAATTACGCAAGTTCGATTCTGGTTGTTGATGTTAGGATGTTATAGGTGAATAATTTGCATGTATTTCTGTAAGTGCTAGTTGAGTTTTGAGACCTGTCTTGATCTGATTTGTTTTTTGGGATCCAAGTCACCTAAACCTTTTTTATTTCTCATTGAACAATTTGTTGGTTCTCTACTTTTTCTACCCTTTTTCCCGAGATATTACTTATAGGTGTGTATAGTGTGTACTTAACATCCTTTTGTGATACATAGGCCCCAGCAGAGATGAGACAAGTTTTGCGCAGTGAACTTCAGAGGGTAGGTTCTGAAGGGGCAAAAGTGTTACGTGAACTTGGCAACAAGGTTAAAAAGATGGAGAAACTAGACGAGGGAGACTTGCTGTATGAAGTGCACGAGGCTGCAGAGGAATTGCAACAGAAGATTGATAAAAAGTCTTACCTTCTTGTCAATTCAGAGTGCTGGGAAATTGGAAAGCGCCCAAGAGAAGAGGAAAGTGATGATCCTCAACAAGAAGACGAAGAAAGAAATTTTCTGGAGTACAAGTCTCTGAGTGAAGCAGTACTTGATCTCAGAACAGTTGAAGTTCCAAATGCATGGGAAGGAAATTTAACTCAGAGCAATAACTCTTCTATGCATGCAACCAATGCCTCTCAAAACATGTTTCGGAATCAGTTTTACCACAAATCAAATGCCGTGGCCAAAGAGGGTCATGAATCACAAACTTTTGAAAGTGCTAGTGCGCTATCTCTAGCAACATTTACATCGCTTCTCATTGAATTTGTAGCAAGGCTTCAAAACCTGGTGGATTCATTTGAGGAATTAAGTGAAATAGCAAACTTTGTTGACCCACGTGAGCAACGAGCACCAGCACAATCTCGTGGATTTTGTAACAGGTTGTTTAACTGCTTAAATTCAAGGACTGAAACATGATCTTCCTTATGTCAACTTGAAATCTTATTAAGGATTGGAACATTAACTTGTTCATGTCAAGAACATTGTCTTGCATAGACAGAGCTACTAAATGAGAATATGCATTATTGATTCTTGACTACTCTCCTTACTCAATTATGAGTAAATTTAACTAACTTTTATGTTAATAAAAAAAATAATATCAATTAATTTTGTTATTCTTAATTAAAAATTAATTTATTTCTATACTACCTTTCATTTGTACTTGATATCACGAATAAAAAAATATCATTGAAAATAAAATTTCAAGTTAAATTTATTTTAATTTCATTTTAGTAACTCATTTGATCCAATGACGTAAATTTGAATATAGTGATAAAACATTCCTCTCACCTAGTCACAAAAACTAAATTCTACTTGATAATAATTACTATATTTGGTAAATTACATATATTTTTTATATGAGATAATCTTGAGTAATAAAAGATTATTATTGAGATCATAAGTTAACAAATTATTCTTATATTCTCATACAAACAAATATTCTTGTAAGAGTTATTTTTCAAATAATGTTTTTTTATTAATATATTAATATTATTTTTGTCATTTTTATCATTATCAACATCTCTATTATTGATTCTATTATTGTTGTCACTGCAACCATCTCCAACATCATGTAGTGAAAATAATAGAAATATTTATAATTGAATTAAATTTTAATTTTAATGGTTTATTATTTTTAGTATTGATTCAATGATCATTATTAATTTTTCTATTCTTGCATAAACATTCTTACACGCCGCATTCGCATATGATTTAGAAAAATATTTCTTCAA